AAAAAAAAAAAAAAAAACGCTGACGGTAATTTATCCACTTTAAAACGCGAGTCATCTTTAAATGAAGTAACGATGTTCTTTTAACAGCTAAATGATGAGATGTGCCAACGTTCCTGACAGGGCCAGTCAGACTGTGAGGTTTTGGCTGGTGACAACAGGCAAGTAGAATCATTATTAATTCCCCACCCTGTGCTTTATGTAGAGAAGGAAAAGGTGAAGAGCATAACGTAACTGATACAGCAAGCTCTCATTACCATGGCTTCTCTTGTGGGAGTGGCGTCTCATGCTGTATGGGATTATGCCGGCTCGGTTGGTATTTAAGGCTGTATCTTCACTCATATAACCGCTCCAGCCTACTTTACACTCACTTCCATTGTATAACATCATCTGTGAGTTATCTAAATATAATCCCGAAGCGTTCAGGGAAGGCCTACCGTCCACAGCATGCTGTTCGCAGTCAAGCAGCTGCTGGCACTCAGGTAGCTGCCGCAGTTCCAGGTCTCTCCACCCTGACACAAACAGCCCTGGGCACTGGCTGCGTGCTGTGTCACAAGACTGGCAGGCAACCAGGCATGCTGGGGAGGGTGGGGCTCCAAAGAGTTTTATGAGTTGCTGTCTGGACACAGAGGCCTCTCGGAGACAAGCCACCTATTGATCCCCGTCTCACTGTGGCAGCGTGGGGGACGAAGGTAGTTTTCTCTTTCGTGTTACATCTGGTCCTGTCTTTTTGAACGGTGTCCAAAATGAAGCAGGTGTTAGGCTAGGTCCAGCTGTTTTGCCTGTTCTACGCTGCACACTGAGTGGAACACGAAAGCCATGCGTTTGTCCTACTAACCTGAAGAAGCACTCATCTATTTACTTATTCATCTGACTGTGTTTGAGAGACCCTTTTGGGAATACCTCCGCGGCGAAATGGGCCTGGCTCTGAAACCGACACTGGATCCCTGACGCGCACACACACACGCACACACACACACACTTAGTGAGCAGCTGTTTGGGGGAGCCCAGCGAACGACAAAGTTAAATTTTCATACCCTCTGCGTTGCTGCAGCAGCATGGTAACCCCATGAAACACTATATTCACCAAGGCAGTCGTAACAGCCACCGCCGTCCGGCACCAAACCAGTGGAAAAAGAGCCAAGTTAAAGACATTACGGATATGAAAGATGGTGAAGATAGTAACACAAAACCTCTGAGAGAACCAATCTCCAACTAAACATGTTTTCCACCAGAAAAACAAACCAGTCCAACGACCTCCCTGCTTTGGTAAACTGCAGACTAAGGCCCACACTTGTTCTTTGCTGTTCTCCCCTCCGTTGTGTGATCATGTGACTTTGCTGTGAGTCACGGCAAAACGGTTGCAACTTCAAGATAACCGTTCTACAACAAATCCTTTTGTGTACATTACCGATGATTTAAGACGACAGTGAAAACGGTTTACCATCCTCATCGCCCGTGTCGTCTCGCCTGTATCCCTTTCAAATCAGGCTCCTGTGTGAAACGCTTACCGCAGCCCATTTGAATACCGTCACAGATCTCTGCACGATAAGTTGCAAATTGCCAGCCGCACATTTTCATTCGGATCGACAAAACTCAAGTGGCTCAAGGAAAATCAAATAGTTATTTCAGTGAACAGAGGTTTTAAAAACACTTTGCTTTGTCCCGTGCCACTGGAGGCAGGTTGCGAGTGGATTTATGTACCGGCTGTTTTGTGTGTTGACTGATAGAGCCATTCAAGCATTCGCAAAGCAGCTATTATCATGTAATTACTAACAAAGTGGCTAAAAATGTGCTTCTGTTGTACTGAGTGGTAAAAAAAAGCAACTTGTATCTCTTGATATTCCTTCCTTTTACACCCAGCCAGTCTGGAATCTGAATTGCGTGGGGAAGGATGCTACACCCTACTTAAAATGCTCGCCCGAGGTGCTCTCTGTGCCGCTGTATGCATCGATACGCCCCTCCAAGTGTTGAGGACTTGTGAAAATGAAACCTGACAGTGCGACCTCCCGCAACCTCACAGAGACAGCGCATTAGGGTACGGAAAGGTTTTTTATCTTGGAGCCACAGTTCATGGTGGATCCCACAACTGATTACTTTATTGACCATCCACAGAGATATAAAAACACATAAACTCACGGCTGATTAGCTGCCAGTGGCCAGAACAGACGGTCCTACTGGTCATAATAAGTAGCATTAAGAGGGTTGTTCGTTCTAACTTTCAAGACATCATCATACACATACTGGAGGGACTGAGCACAGGTGGGAGGGCTGGATGCCTTTATTTTTCCTACTCCTTGAAAATTCCCCTTGTAAGATGAGGTTCCTACTGAACAGCTGCAGTGTTTCCAGCAGGATATGGCTTTTTTTAAAGAACATAACCAGCCCCTATAAGCCAAGTGCAGTAAAGAACTCCTGCCTCTTGTCATACTTCTAATGTTGACTAGTCTGTCTTGGTGTCCCAGCCAACAAAAGAGCCCACAAACACAAGAGCCTGAATAATTCAAGGGAGAGTGTAATGCAAGCCTCTCTCATCGTGGTGAGGTTGGAAATGACGGCAAATAACCCCCCAGTCCTTGCTTTAAAATGAGCACTGAACCCAACGACCAGCCAGCACAGGAACATATCACAAATATCTGGCAGAAAAGAAAGAAATCGCCTGGCTCTGCTGCTGACTTGACTCACCAGATCAAGTTAGCCACTAATGAAAGCAGTCGATTCGGTGAGGCATCAGGAAACACACGTGTGTAGAGTGTAAACAGTTAACTCCAACAATTCCCTCTAAGCTGGTGCTTTAAGTAAATGTTACATCACACATGCACCTTAAATAAAAACCGGGCACACATGATCTGGATCGTGACTGCAAGCTCTTTAGAAAAGCTAGCGAAGAAAATGCAAGTCGATTTCTCAGAGCCAAAGCACAACTGATATATAAAACACAAACAAACATACAAACAAACACAGAAGTGATCCCCCGTGGAGCACAACTTTAAAACGCAATGTTTAAACCGCACATCTCTAGTTGACAGCTCATAAAAGCTCATTTAACGGGGCAACCAATTCTACATTAATGCAGATCAATGCAACGGATGATGGGCTGTCCTAAATGTTGACTCTGAGCCAGCTATTATGGCTACGACTGTTCTTTAAAACAAAATATCAACGAACAATGCACATGCTTACATAAACGCATTTGAGGCGTTCAAACGCGTGGAGCTTCGTGCACCGTTACCACTCTGCACCAACTTTATTCCCACGCATTACAACACATCAATCACCCCGTTTTGGAAAGCCATACCCGTGCATGGAAGCTCATTGTGAAGAAGTGTTGTTCATTTTTCAGTAAGTAGACCGAACCGTAACGTATGGGGGGGGGGGTTAGCAAGTGGCTACTTCAAGCCTGGCTAATCAGCAGCTAACGTTAGCTATCGTTGAGGCTAGTAGCTGGAGTATCCCTTTACTGCTCACCTTCAGCGGCCTCGCAGATGTTTTTTTCATCGTCCCATTTAGTTTTCCAGCAAGTGTCGACTTGTGAATGGCTTGTACGGCTCCAGGACCGGCACTTCTTAACTTTTTAGCATCTTCAGGAGGTGGAACTACGCGTAAAATCCCAAACCGGACCGCCACCGACAAAGTAATTTCTCCACCACTTACAACAACAACGTCAACCGTGGAGTAGAGCCCGCCCCCGGCGAGGAACCGACCAATCAGAGAGAAGAGTTTGTTTTATTGACGTTTATATGCACCAATGGTCTCTCGCGGTGGCTTTGACTGATGCCCCCCCCGGTAGAGTAAACACCAAATGAGAACGACAGAGTAGAAAATATTCGCTTGCCAATTGGCTGCAGAGAAATAAGGGGGCAAGGGTTTTTAGTCCGAGCAGCCTATGAGTGTGGCACTGAGTCCAGAGTGACAGGTGCTTTCGGAGTGGACAAAATAGCCGGGGCGGCATCAATGCCTGGGTGAGGTCATCCAGGATGATGTAAACCCTACGTCATTAGAGGTGCTAAATAAAAACACACAACAGGGTTTAGCTTTTAAAAAGTTTAATTTTTTTTTCCCCAAGTCATATAAAACAAAAACACTCCAGCACAATAAAATGCACGCAACACTGAGCAAACTGAAACATCATTTTGAGGGAATGGTGAAAACCGGAAACATGTAGTTGGTGTTGAAAGTAAAACAAAACTAGTTTCGCACAGAGTCGAATTGATATCTTTCTGTTGCAATTTAACGCAGCATAAGCAATTTACAAAAAACTGGAGATGCTGCTGTTAAGTGAATTTATTCTTTTGTTATTCTTTTAAGAAGAGCAACTCCATATCTCAAAATGTTTGTAGTTGCACAACTAAATTCCACAACAACTGTTACTCCAAAATATTGTACAAAAAACTCTGAAATTAGTTTCTTATGACAGAACGAGTGGATTATAAACTGTCAGAGTGACAGCTCCTCTAGCCAATGACAACTGCCAAACTCAACGCCGCCTCCTGTCTGGACTTCTGCTGCGTCTTCGCCCGCCAGTCCTGCGAAAAAACACGTCACATTAAAAACAGGAAAATACAGTTCAGTTATTTAAAACAATATCATATTAAAAGCCATTACATCAATTATTTAGACAGCACTTGTCAATAGATACTTAAACAGATACGTTGTCAACATTGCAAACATCAAGGGCCAGGTGGTAAACAAGATGAAATTTTTACACAGTACGACAACACGCCCTTCACAGCAAGTTGCTGCCACCACAAACAGAGAAACACACACCTTCTCTTGTTCTTGGGCGGCCCTCTGACAAATCCCCAGTCAACACTGATAGGCTGGCCCATCATGTCCTGACCGTTGAGCCCTTCCATGGCTGCCTGGGCCTCTTTGTACGTCTCATACTCCACCAGTGCATATCCCTAGGGACAGTTATCAGGACGTCATGTGAGTTATTGCACATTTTTTAGCATCACTGCTTTGGAATGTGGTAGCGTTTCACAATTTAAATTAAACACAGCACAGAAACAGGATTACTCGTCACCCAATAATCCAACAGTATTACTCAGCCTCCTATTTTAACAGCCCTGCTTAAACCACAGTGTGGGAACACTGCAAACTAATTTTGAACTTAGCACAAAAGCACAGTCAACTAACACTATACATTTTCTCTGAAGCTGTGAAAAAACAACCAAAAATATTGTATAAAGACATGTTATCTTTGAATAGCCTGTAATGAAAATGGACAGTCTCTATGCTTGACTGAAATGATTTGTAGAGGAAGAGTTTCAGGCCAAAGATGCTTTGTTCTTACTTCATACTCAAATCAATGCTGCCACCTTGTGGCTCAGAGGGAAGCTGAAGAATACTGCTCATTTTGGATGACAACATTTTTTTAATAAACAATGGGTCAAAAAGTCAACTTCAGTCAAAGTGCATATCACACTTTATAAACGCAAATATTTGGAAAACCTCTGATAACTTTGGTTCTGTCTCTCAGCATGTCAATGTCTTTTGCAGTTTTACCATTCAATAAAAAGAGACTATAGTTAAAATACAACACCATCTATCCTTAGGTCCTCGATTTATAGAAGGAAAAACTCTCCCAAAAAACTGTTAACAGGAAGAAAATGTAAAAAACCCCAGGAAGAGGAGCAGAGGAGGACAGACAAACATGCAATAGATGTTGTGTGTACAGAACAGACCAACAAAAAAATCATAGTATGGACAACCAGGATGACAAAATAAAAGATGATAAACATCTGAAGAATATGGATCCAGGAGGAAGTAGCAGTGACAATACGCGTTACTTTTATAGATAAAGCACAGACGTGCTCTACACAAAACACAGACAGGGTCTGGTTTTATACATAACAAATTACTCTTTAATAATGTGATATTTTTAAAAAAGTTGCCTAAACTTATCTATGCAGTTTTACAGTCTCTGCATCTGCATCTGCAACAATTTTTCACTTAAGCAACAATTAGTGTGATTCAGAGAAGCAAGGGCATTTTTCAGGTTGAGTCAACATGACTTTTGAAGCTTTTCTTGGTGATTGGAAGGTATTCTGTTCTGGCTTTGAACTTTATGTTCATGGCTTTGTGGCGTCACCATAAATGGTCAAATAAATTGTATTAAGCAAACAGCTGCAGGGCGCACAATTAACAAATTACACATTTATGCGTCAAACCATCTTTTTGATAAAACTGAACACAAAATTTTAAAGTAAGATGCAAAAATCCTTTTTAATGGTAAACACACTGAATCAGTACTCTCTTTAATCACTCACCTGACAGGAAGAGTATGTGCTAAATGTGTAGCCATAATATAATTAAACCATCTTAAATTACATTATCAGATTTACTCAATATGTGTTCACAATTTGTTAGGAAATGGCCTTTTTTAAATTAGGTTTACTGTCAATTAAGTCAACAAATGGTGCGTGCAGTGTCCCATGGTCGGCCTACTTTGACTTTATGACACTGCGTCTCTTGCAGTGGCCCTACTGAACTGCACCACCGTACTCGCAATGCTGATACTAAAACAGTTCGCTCATCTCTACAAGAAAGATCAAATGCTTTCCGGCCTGCATTTGTAAATCAGATTTTAATCAACAGAAGAACTGCACATGCAGGTTAACATCCACCCTGACCATCAATTGGACTGTTTTGTATTTTAAATACCTGATTATATTGTACAGATCAAAATCCTATTTGTGAACGAGCAAACAAGTAGCCCAGAGGCTGTGTCAATGAAAAACACAAAAAATAAACGTGTGTTCATCTCTTCCACAAAAGTAAAGACAAACATACCAATGATGCATGGTTATTTGTCTCACCTTGAGGTAGCCTGTTCTGCGGTCAAGGTTGAGATGCAGGTTCTTGATTTCTCCAAACTCTGAGAACTTGTCATGGATGTCTTCCTCTGTGGCCTCTTCATGTACACCTGTCACAAACAGGATCCAACCCTCCACAGCTGCAACAAGACACAAGAAGAGTTGTCAGGCGTCAAATAATAAACAAGCAGCACTTATAGCCATGTAAACTAATAAGTCAAGCAGAGTTATGATTACTAAAGCTCTAACTACATGCAAGACGTATAATTAAACAGTGGTCTAACCAGTATGAATCCATCTGTGCTCCAGTTTGTTCCTTCAGAATAAATAAAAACTATTCTAATCATATGAATAAAATCTGTCACATTAACCCGTTTATCAAGCTGCTCTATTTCTATATTTCTCTATTTCTTTCTTCAAAGTTAATTAAGATATACATCTTATCCTTTCTGAAAATCTAGAGTAAAAGTAAGCAGAAACAATACTGACAAATCCAACTGATAGGGAAAATGATTTTAGATCATGTACATCATGAGAAACAAAATAATTCGTGTTTTTAAATCGCTCAGCGGACTAAACATTATTAAATATATTAAGAATTGTAACTGTTTGTGTGCACACAAGTTTTAAAGCTTTGCTGAGAAAGGGGAAAGTAAATAAACTGAACTAACTGGTGACAATATTTCAGTATTAGTTTTGTAGGTTGTTGTAAGTTACAGAGGCAGTAGGGACTGGATAAATCGCAGATGCACTTTAGGGTGACAAATGTGCAGCTTATACTGACTCTTATCTTAAATGTGAACTACATTACATCTTCAACACTCACATCTCTGAGGGCCTGGCTCGTCGCCATCCTGCTCCACAGTATCATAGTCCTCTTTGATTCTGGATCTGGCTCCTTCCTCTGCAAACAGCAACACAGAGGAAAAATATCAAACACTGCTGACAAACAGTATTAAAAAAGCTTCAGGAGGAGATTGCACGAACAAATACCACAACAGTGGTAACTCACCTGAGCCAAAGCCTCGTCCTTTTCTCTTCTTGGCCTTTTCCTTTAACTTGTGGATGCTTTCTGGAGAAGTTGAAGATAACAAAGGAAATCAATGCATGTTGCTTCATATCTTTTGTTTCATTTTTAATTCTATTCTTAAGGTTAGGGTTTTTTAATTTTAGTTTAATGTTTGTTTTGTATTGTGTGTGCTACAGGACACTTAAATAAATAAAGAACATCTGTTTCGGCGCAAGTTTACCAACTAGCATTAGCTACCTGTGGGCTGACTAACTGCTTCATTTATGTAATTTAAACTCTAGATTTTCGGTATTTAACGTAATAATTACATGCGAGCTACACTTAAAAACACATATGGATGTTTAAAAGTTTCATTACTTACGTTAACTAACTTATAAACTAAATAAAGACTCAAATAGCGTGCTAGCGGCGGCTAATACCACAAACCTATATATATATATCTTAACCTAACACAAACCACGCTGTTAAACTGGGAAACGCATCAAAAGTTGAAGTGACCTTTTCAGTGTACACTAACCACAACCAGGCTCACTTAAAAAGAGCGTTTGAATGAACCACCAGTGCCTTGTTAGCTTTAATATTAGCTGGTTAGCATGGCTCCGGCCTGCCACCACGCAGTCTGCAGCTTGTTGTTCGACCGCGGTCACTTTAACGCAGCGTAAGATCTCCATAGTTACACATCGTTTGAACGCCGAGGTTATGGACTTACACTAACGTCTTTAAGTATTAATATTACCATCACCATCCTCATCCATAGGAAAATCTTCTCCTCCCGCTTCGTGAAGGTCCAATACGTCCGCCATGATGTCTGTCTGTGTGTGTGTGTGTGTGTGCGGCTGAGCTACGCAACGTGCGTACGCAACTGACGTTAGATACGACGGGTCGGCGGATGTTGCCAGGATACGTAAAAGTAAGGAACTACATGTACGGATGTATGGAAGCTTTTTTGGTTTGTTTTTCTGACTAATGACTAATTTGTTTTGTCTGTTTTTCGGAGTATTTTATTTTTTTCTGTTTTTCGGAGTAATTATTTCTGTTTTTCTGAGTAATCTTTTTTTTGTCTGTTTTTTTGAGTAATTTATTTTTGTCTGTTTTT